GTGGCCCCGCCCCCTATTCCCAAGCCCCGCCCCGCTCAGCCGCCCTTCGGTAGCCCTGGCAACCGGGTGCCGCCATCCCATTGGTCGATTCCGACATAAAGCATTCATCTCTGCTAGCCGTCTCCGCAAACTTGCGCCGCAGTCCTCCAGGCGGAGCCCTCTGTCCGTGGCTACCCCGCGCTGGAAATGCGAGCTGCAGGGCCGCTACCTCCAAATCCCCAGCATTTACGCGTCTGGGACCCTTAGACCCTGCATCTTAGGTCTTACAGAGCGGGCAAGAAGCCAGACTGTTTCCTGTTTGCTCCGGGATGCCTTTTCTCTCAATGTCTCAAGTTAGTGGAGTCTCTCTTCTCTGCATGGGGACCAGTCCACTCATCCCTCAAAGCCCAGGTCAAATGTCACCTCCTTATATTACTTTTCTAATAAAATTGTTTTTATTTAGTTACCTCTTCCAGGCATCTTCTCTGATTCCTCTAACTCAAAACGCAGCTAAAATGCCTTCAGAAAGCCTTTTTGTGACTTTCCCAACTCAACGCATTCCCTCCCTTTATCCTATCCTCTGAACCCTGCAAACTCTTACCTCTTAAGTTAAATGTGTCTCCTTCTCCAAGAAGCTTTCTCTGACTTCCTCAACTGAAAGTATTTCTTCTCTTGTGTATGGGCAAGCTCTGCTCATCCATCAAAGTCCAATATTGAACCTTCCTTGACTTTCCAAGGAACAATGGAACTCATGACACTCGTCTGTCTGGACTCCACACTCGTTTGATTCTTGTTACCCATAACGTGATATTCCTGTTGTTTTACACTTCCTGTTTTGTTACACTTCACACCTAGTTTGTGAGTTCCCAAGGGTAGGGACTGAGTGCCCAGCTCCTTGAGTGGCCCAGCACCTAGTATAGACAAAAAAGCTGTGCTACTCAAAATCCAATTCAGAAGTTCATCTGGAACAGTAATTGTACAAGAACAACCAAAACATTCTTGAAAAAGAAGAGGACTTCCTGTACTAGGTGTCAAATTTTTAAAATAAAGATATAGTCTGTAAAACAGCAAAGTGCCGGAGTAGGAAGAGACAGTGGTAGAACAGAGAACAGTCTTGTACACACTGGAGAATTTGGTACACAACGAAGGTAGCATTGCCAATTAGTGGGGCCAAAGGCTTTTGATTTATCATATGTCTTCTTGTCCCCTGCCAGGGTGTAGGTTTTTTGAAAGTCAGAAGCATTTCTTATCCTGCCCTAGTATCTCCCTAGGGCACTCTGCACAACCTAGTTAGAAATGCTCAGTTCACAGATGGTACAGGGCAGTGACCACAGAGTTGGGGAGAGCCATTTTCTGCTCCCCACTCAGCAGGGCCACATACTGCTGAGTGTCCTTGGCCAAGTCACCCTGTCTAGGCCTGGGTCACTTCTCCCTGGCCTGATTTCCCCCTGTGAACTGAGAGGACTCACACTTATTTCCCTGCCTAGAAAGTCCTTCCTTTTTATGCATGGGAGTAGCTTTCAGAAGACAGTTTCACAGTAGGGTCATTTGCAGGTCTGTGCTTTGAAACTTTGGTAGTCATTTGCACCATAGTATGAGAACAAGCATTCTTGTCCTCTCATAAGGAACAAAGCCCTCCTGAGAACAAGCATCTACTGACCGGCAGGGGTTAGATCAGGACATCTGTGGCAGAAACCTAAAAAGATGAGACTAAGAGAAGGCAAGGGACACCCCAAGAGCTTTGGCTTTACTTTTTGTTTAATCAGTCTTTGATCTGGATCAATGAGATACCATGGTCTGGGTTTGCTTCACCAGCTTTTTTCATCACCTAGTGTATAATAGGCACATAATAGGTACATTCAGTATCCCTAATGAATTAATCAATAGAGGTAAGAAGGAATGAACCAGAATCCAGTCTGTTCATTTGTAACCTGTAAAGAGTAAGTGATCAGAGCAGACATATCTGCATCCTGAACTGGGTACAGATAAGCTGTGGCTTTATCTTTTTGCCTACTGGGTATGTGATGCCATTGAATCTCCATGGCAACCCTAATGTCATAGGAATTATAAGTGTCCCCATTTTACAGATGAGGAATCTGAAGCTCAGAGAAGTTCAGTAACTTTCCCAGGATCACAAAGCAAGTAAGGGTGGTTCCCAGATTTAAACTCAAGTCTCATCCTGATCCTTAACCTTTATATTTGACTGCTAACCAGTGGCTGAGAATTCTGTCCCTAGCTCAACAAAAGTTACCCAGTTATCCTGCTGGCATCCAGCCCAAAGGCTGGTGGCTCCTCTTCTGCTAGTTGCATGCCACTGTTGTCTTAGCATCCATGGCTGTTGTGATGAGCTCTCAAGATCATGAAACGGGATAAAAAGCCTCTGATCTCTAGTCAGGACTATGTTGGCCAATTCAACCTATTCTACCTCACTTAGCCAATCATAGCCATAGTCACAAACACTGCAATAATAAAAATACCTTATGTGTGCATAGAACGCAAAAGTTTGCAAAAATACTTTTTTGCTCGTCATTTTATTCAGGCTTCCCAGAATTCCACCTGTATTAATTCCTTAGGGTTTCCTTAACAAAGTACAAAAAAAGTAGTTGTTTAAAACAACAGAAATGTATTGTCTCACAGTTCTGAAGGCTAGAAGTCTGAAATCACGGTGATGGTAGTGCTATGCTCTCTCTGGCAGTTCTGGGACAGAATTGTTCTAGCCTCTAGTGTTTGCCGGCAATCCTTGGTATTCCTAGACTTGTAGATGCATCACTCCAGTCATGTGACTGTCTTCTCCCTGTGTGTCATCACATCATCTTCCCTCTACATGTGTATGTTCCTGTATCTAAATGTTCCCTTTTAATAAGTACAATAGTCATATTGGATCCAGATCCACCTTAATGACCCATTTTAACTTGATTACCTCTTCAAAGTCCCTGTTCCCAAATAAAGTCACATGCTGTGGCACCAGAGGTTAGAATCTTAACATAACTATTTTCAGGGACACAATTTAGCCCATGCCACCACCAGACACTTATTTTCATATCATTAGCCAAAACATAGATCCATGGTGATGCCTAGTTGTAAGGGAAGTGGGAAGAATTAGTCTTTAGTTGGTTGGGTACATTGCTGCTCCTTCCACTCCATAAAGTCAAAATACTAAAGAAGACAGGGAGACAATATTTTTTAGCAACTAGTAGTGAAAATTATTTCCCCTTTTAGAGATCAGTATACCAGTTGCTATGGTTTGAATGTGTCCCCCGAAAAGCATGTGTTGGAATTTAATCCCCCATGCAGCAGTGTTGAAAGATGAGGCCTATTGGGAGATGTTTAGGTCATGAGGGCTTCACCCTCAAGAATGGATTACTGTCAGTTACAAGAGGGCTTATTTGATTCTGTTTGTGGAAAACTAAAAAGATAAATAAAAAGGCTTGAGGTTGTGAGTTCCCTCTCTTGCTCTCTCTGGCCCTTTCTTTGCCCTTCCCCCACAGGATGATGCAGCAAGCAGGGCCTTGCCAGATGCTGCCTCTCCATCCTGGACTTCTCAGCCTCCAGAACCATGAGTCAACTTTCTGTTCATTATAAAGTGCCCAGTCTCATGTATTCTGTTAAAGCAGCACAAAATGGACAAAGACATTTGTTTAGAATGACAGTAGGATTTCTCCATAGAGAGATGTAGACACTTTTCGAGCACCTATTGTATGAAAGGCACCATGCTGAATGTTTACAATGCTTACAAATACAAATGATTGCATTTAATCTTTAGACAACTCTACAAGACAGGCATTATTAGCCTTGTTTTACAGATGAAAAATTAGGATTAAATCCTTTGTCTAAGGTTACACAGCTAGTGAATAATAGAGCAGGAACTTTATGATCTGTCTGACTTCATGCTGGTGAAATGGGCCCTAGGGATAGGGCATGAAGCCAGGACAAAGAATGCTAAGACCAGGCCAAAAGCAAACAGCAGGAGACCTGAACAGTGACTGGAACCCAGGGTCAGATACCATATGAACGGGAAGAAAGGGCACCAACCCAAAATCAGAACTGCAGCCTCCTTGAAGTCATCAGTGAGATGAAGACCCTGAAGTTACCAGAAACCAGAAACAGAAAAGCACGCTTAAGATTTTGTAAGCTTGGAGCTTCTCTACAGGTTAAGGATGGAAACTAATGCTAGCAGTAGCCACCATTTACTGAGTATCTACTATGCTCCAGGCACTGTGCTATGTGTCTGATAATAATAATAATAAAAATAATAATAATAGCTAACATTCCTAGACTGCTTACTATCATGCAGCCTTGTTTAAAGATTTATATAACCTAGCCTGGGCAACATAGCAAGACCCCATCACTATTAAAAAAAAGAAAGAAAGAAAGAAAAAAATAGCTGGGTGTGGTGGCATGCATGTGTAGTCCTCACCACTTTGAAGGCTGAGGAGGGAGGATTGGATGATCCCAGGAGGTTGAGGCTGCACTAAGCCATGATTATGCCACTGCACTCCAGTCTGGGCAATAGAGTGAGACCCTGTCTCTAAAAAGAAAAAGAAAGGCCGGGCTTGGTGGCTCAGCCTGTAATCCCAGCACTTTGGGAGGCCGAGGTGAGTGGATTGCCTGAGCCCGCGGGTTCAAGACCCGCCCGGGCAACTTGGCGAGAACTCATCTCAACAATAAATCAAAAATTAGCTGGGTGTGATAGCACGCACCTGTAGTTCCAGCTACTTGGGAGGCTGAGATGGAAGGATCGCCAGAGCCCAGCAGGTCGAGGCTGCGGTAGCCGGGAGCGTGCCGCTGCACTCCAGTCTGGGCGACAGAGTGAGACTCCTATTCAAATAAATAAATAAAAAGAAAAAGAAAAATATGTATAACCTTTAACTCTACATACCTTAGTAACCCCATGATGCAAGGGAGGAAACAAGCATGAATGACTAACTTGCTCAAGGTCATACAGCTAATAAGCGGCACCACTATACTACATACATCTTCATCTTCACAAGTCTGCACGG